AATAATAATAATAATAATAATAATAATAATAATAATAATAATAATAATAATAATAATAATAATAATAATAATAATAATAATAATAATAATAATAATAATAATAATAATAGAGCAGTTGAACTTATCACGGAGCAGATACACACTATTTGGGGAAGAAATAAAAGCCAGGTCGCTTCCCTTCTCAGCCTTGATATATCAGGAGCCTTTGACAATGTCTCCCACGAAAGGCTAATTCACAATCTGAGAGTGAAAGGTATTCCAGGGTGGATCAGTAGATTTGTACAATCATTCCTAGAAGAGAGAACCACCTCGGTAGTCCTCGGTACATACAGAGGAAATCAGATCCCCACCAGCACAGGAATACCTCAAGGGTCTTCTCTATCACCGATTCTTTTTCTGTTCTTTGTTAGCACACTCCTGCCAATACTACAAACTCCGTCTTCTTCTGCTGTGGGGTTTGTAGACGATACTAACATACTAACATGGTCAAGTACCACCGAAGAGAACTGCAGAAAGTTAGAAGAACAGCACGGGATATGCGAGGCGTGGGCAGAAAAGAACGGTGTGAAGTTTGCGCCAGAGAAGTACCAGCTCATGCACTTCACAAGAGCAAGGAAGCGACACAATTTAGAAGCAACTGTCAACATACGAGGACATCTGACGTCTCCACAGTCCTCCCTCAGAGTCCTCGGAATCTACTTCGACCCCAAGCTTCAATGGGGCTCCCACATAAAGCATATTGTACAAAAGTCACACACCCAAGTACAGGCGATAAGTAGATTAACGCAATCAACTTGGGGTGCAACATTCAAAAAATCAAAGCTTTTGTACAACGCAATTGTGAGACCAGCCCTGACTTACGGGTGTCCAATATGGGCTGCGGCTGGGCCAACAGGCAGAATACCAGAAAGGATAGTCAAACCATTGCGAAGTATCCAACGAAAATGCTTGAAGCTAGTCACAGGGGCATATAATTCCACCAGCAGTAGGGCTCTAGACCACGAATGCTCAATCCTTCCACTTGACATCTACCTCAAACAAATGAGAGTTCAACATATCGGACTTTCGGAAAGACAACCCATCAAGCAGACGATTCTATCTGCATGTAGCAAAATATCACAGGCTTATAGCCTGAGCGAAAATAGCCACGCAAAAAATCGAAGCCGAGACACTAGCGAGTGGAATAAAATCTGCGGGAACGAAAAAGTGAGGCGTAGACAAAAAGAAGCGGGCAAGATAGGAGCGTTCCAGGACTGGGAAACCGCATGGAATACTTTTAAGGAAGAACGACTATCTTCTCACTAGGCGTCAGCAGACCCAGAACATTGGACAGCTGCAAGTATAAGCACCGGCAAGAAAACAGGTAGAAAAAGAATCACCTACAGAAACACACCCTCTAACATCCACCGAAACCTGAGCAGGGCCCAAAGTAGTATTGCAATACAAATAAGAAGTGAGCATATCGGCCTCAACTCTTATCTTTATAGAAGAAAGGTCCCTGGAGTGGCAAATCCAAAGTGCCAGTGTGGATATCCGTCACAAAACGTGAAACATATGGTCATGGCTTGTCCTCAGTGGGCTAAGGGAAGAGGAGAGGTGCTGTAACGGGCAAAAGATAGGTCTTTCGAAGCTATGATGAACAGCCCGGAAGACATGAAGAGAATTACAGATTGGATACTTAAAAACGGCTGGCTTGAACAGTTCCGGCTTGCAGAAGAAGTTGAGACAGCAGTCAGCGAAAGGATTGAGCGATCGGGAAAAGGATAGGACGATATTCACACTGGACGCACAGTGTAAGCGCACTTCCTGTAGGAAACATCGGAAATCATATAGACACGAGACAGACAGTTGTGGGGGGTTTTTACCAAATATGGTTTCCTCCTGTGTAAATATTATAGCTAGATATTCCTGCATGGGCCCATAGGGTACCTGAACGGGCTAAATGAAATCAAATCAAATAATAATAATAGAAAAAAAACATCATTTTTCACGAAAAGCGGCACAACGTTCCACGAACGTTATTTTATCGTTAATATTATTGCAATCTTCTTAATCAATCTCACTTACCTGATTCCCCGAATTTTTTTCGTTGCGTTTCGGCATGGCGAGATGGGGACCCAGAAAGGTGGATTTCGCGGCTGAAAAAATTTTCACGGCACCTCAACCACCACCAACGGACAGCGGAACGGCCGCAATTACGGCTGTAGAGTCTCTCGCAAGCTCTACAGGCGCTAACATGGAGACATTAATGACAGTAGGGTTATTTTTAAACAAGGTCAGAGACAGACTGGTTATCGCAGGCACTGACAAATCTGCGACGCCGATGGTCGAAGTAGGTGAGGCACTTGATGCCTTCAAAGACCACGCTACGATGTTAAAATCGAAGCTGAAGGCTTCAAGAATGGAAGAACGCATGCTGGCCTTAGAGAAGGCAGTCAAGAAGAATCTCGAGGAGCCGTCGCACAAGACGGCTGCTTCGGCAGTACAAGGGATGGGAGGGCGACCCACATACGCCTCAATCGTCGCGCCGCCAGCGACTAAAGCGGCTGTACGAATACGCATTCAAGGAGCAGAAAACATGGAGCCGGCAGCGCTCCTAGACAAGGCGAAAATACACATTGAGGGGGCATACGCAGTAAGGAAGCTGCGGAGCAACGATACGGAGGTGTTTGTGCAGTCGGTCACTCAGCGAGACGCTGCCTTGAGTATGGCGCAGCCAAAGGAGTTCTGCGTCTTGAAGCAGGATTATCCTGTTGAGATATTGGGGGTCCCATTGGGGACATTTATAAGAGGAGGTAAAAATCCAAATAACGGCGAGTTTATAAATCAAGTTGAGGCGGAAACAAAAGTTCGGATACCCGAATTAAAAATCAGCAGGGTGAGATGGCTTTTTGACGGAAAGGAGCACCGATGGATGGGAGCTAACGGCCATACTCGAGGGTCAATCGTCGCGAGTCTGCCGACAGAGGCACTTCAACGCGAAGTGATAAGAAACGGCATTGTTTACAACTCAATGCTATACACGGCCCAGCTCTGGTCACCCCGTGCACAAGTCAAGCAGTGCTTCAACTGCAGCGAATGGGGGCATACCCAAGCCTCGTGTACCAAGGCGAAAAGATGTGGTGAGTGTGCGGGCACTCATCAGACCAGAGACTGCCCGAGGAAGTCGGTGCTTTGCTGCAACTGCGGTAAAGACTATAAATCGTGGCAGAATGGAGCGTGTCAGAACTTCGCGTCATACAAGGCCAGCGTTCAAAGGGTCAGGTACGAACTCATGGAAAGAACGGCGAATCTAAGAAGAGAGGAAACTTTACCAGCGGCAAAACAAATGGACGACCAAGGGTTCACGCTGGTGTCCCACCAAAAGTCAGGGGTGTTCAAGAGGGGGCTAGGACGCCCGCGCAAACAGCCCCTGGTTAATCCACCACCTCAAATATTTGCGCCATCGGGGTCAAACTCAAGGCCACAGTCATCACTTTTCAGCACGCGAGGGCAGGGAAAGAATGGCGAGGTCGAATACAACTTTAGCTAGTACTGTCTCGGGCTAAAGGCCAATTGCACTTCCTGTAGGTAAAGAAGGACTACAGACATAAAAATTTATAGGGGGAGGGGGTTTTTATCGTAATGGTTTCCCCCTCATGTATATGTATAGATAGGTTCATAGCCACCTCCATGGGCCCATAGGGCGCCAAATCGGGTTAATGAAATCAAATTCGAATTCGAAAATTCAAATAAATAAATAAATATTATTTCTTTTTCCTAACCACTTTTTCTATTGCCACCTCGGGCAATACTAAGCTCAGCTCCACAGGGCACAGAATTCTAACCCCAGCGTATTTTGGGCTCTTGCTACAGCGAAGGGTGTTCATGCATTCAGTAGCTGGGTGCGTGACAAAAACTTTTTTCGAAAAGCACAAATCTGACGAGAATGTAGTCAAGTAATAAAAGCGAGAGAGCTTTAAAGCGACGCAATAAATTTTCCTCTACACTACTATTTTTTCTTTGCTTTGTATTCTCCATGGAATAACAACTGAAAACATGAGAGACAACGGGAGGCTGATATTCATGTTAAATTAAATCTTCGAGCCTAGGATAACAAGATCCTGGTTTTCATTTGCTATGTTGGGTCTATATGGGCGCCAACACGTCGGTTTGTTTTATACAGACTGGGCTAACCTGTACGTGAGAAGCTCATGTGCTGTGCGCAGACACGACGTTAAATATTGTAAATAAATAAAATAAATTATTAATTCAACATGTTCCTATATCACATTCAGTTAGATTTCTATTAGCAGGTTGGCAATTTCGTGTTCGGGCACTCTCGTGCTAGTCAATATCTGAGCTTCTGTGATTATTTTTTATCATTTTGTCTGGATGCTTCGAAGGGGTTCGAGTATCCTCTGGTAAGGACCACGTACTAACGAGCCCAGTAGGACCGATAAGGTGTATACCAAATCAGAAATAACAGAAAATCCTTCATCAATAACAGTCATTAATTATCACCTGATTTGTCTCGGCAGTTATTTTTTTCAATAGTCATTCTAATTTAGTATACGAACCGTATACTTATCATTGATATAAACAGTCAAATTATTTTGACATATTTACTTCCTGCTCATACCCCTTATTACGTTCAATTCAAGTAGTATTAACGTTGCACAGGAGTTGAGTTTCTGTATACCTAACTTTGACAAAAAAAAGAACGTCAATGCCAGCATACTGAAGACTCAGACTCGGTCCCGTCAGTAGCTCCATATGTACAAGCCAATAAACAATAATGATATAAAATTTCCGGGTATTTTGAGACATATTTTCCCTATCCTCAACGCCTCGATAACACCAGTTCGACGTCTCAATAATCCTACTACATGATTCACAATTAATTTGTAACCATATTTTCGTGAATAAATGTCAATTTGTTTGAAAAGAATGTTGTTGAAACATATTAAATTTGATACATTTACACATGACAGTTAGGGAGGCCAATAGCCTCTCTTTCTCTACCATGAATAATATTGTCTCTGGGAAGAAATAGGCCTGTTAGGAAGCTGCACCCAAACTTTTCGCTTATCTGCTTTTTTTTGACGTTCTTGATCAAGTCTTATCCGAGTTACTTCTTCTTTGAGTACAATTGTCATAGCTATGCTTATCAGCCGATATCAAAGAGATAAATTAACTCGAAACTCACATGTAGTACGGTGTCGTAGAATATTTACTTTTCCACGGGCTCTATATTCAGGAGATTTTTCGTATAAACCTTTGTTACACCAAGCTTGGTCGACATAGACTGTTGTTGGGTCTTTAATTCTTACTCGCTTTTTGTCGTTTGTCATTAAAGTAACAGGTGAAAAGGAACTACCAAGGGGTAAACCCATACCCATGCCTCTCCTTACAATGGCCTCATTTTTAGCATGTTCCAGATGTTCTTTAACGTCCTTAGCAACTTTTTTGGCGGAAAATCGCATTTGAATAATAGCATCTTGGACACTTTTTCCTTTTATCTGATTTGCTAGATGAACTAGCTTTTTTACTGAAGTTTTGAAATCGTGGCTTTTGGAAACCAGCTCTCTTTCCTGTCGTTTTAATTGCTGAGTCTTTGACAGTCGCCCTCTCTTCCGTAATTCCCTAATAACCATTTTTCGCTCCCATTTACGACGTGCTTCAGGTGCCGGGTCTAGTGCGGCAGCCATGGCTGTAGGATTCCGCACAAGTTTTTCTGCGACTTCACTGTTGCTGGATAGTGCCTCGGGTTTTGGTCCTGCTGCTTCCTCATCTTCTAATATGGACGATTCAGATAGACTCCCCCGAACAATTTTTGGTGGAGGAGGTTTTCGGGTGAGATATTTCTCTTCTAGCGGGTTCGCCTCTATCACGGGAAGGCTTTTCTCTTGCGATCGCTTCTTGAATCGGTCCCAAAACCATGCGTATCGTCTTTGGTTAAGTATTATAGGAGATGAAGACGGTCTTATAACACGAACTGTTTAGTTATAAGCTAGTGAGCAAAGAAGGTTTTTGAATGGTTCTCACCAGATCTCGCTACATGTTTTGATGAAAGCTGTAGAATCATAGTTTTCAGATGGTTGTGATTAATAGCGATGAGGACGTTTGGTTTATAGGTTAAATGCGAGGATCATGTAAGCATCAATTGAAAGTGAATAGGCTCATACAACACTATCCGGAGGGGTTACAGGCAGAGGGTGTAGTGACGGATCAATGATACTTTGTAACAATAGCTTCAGGATGGTTTATACAAACTGGATCAGTCATCAAGCACGTGATAGGTTTGGTTGGTGACAAACACGAGGAATTCCTTGCAACCCACAACAGCGTCGAACAGTGTCCATTACCCAGTTTGTTGTATAGAGAAAAGTGTAAAGGCTCACTCTAATTAAACGTAAAACAATACAAACAAACAAATAAATAAATAAACACCGTCGGACAAGAAGGAAGACGAGATCATTTACTGAAGACCTGTACGCGGTGTCCTTGACGAACCTGGAAGATTTTTGGAGGGCAAGACTGAACACCTGTACACGTTGCCTTTTACGAATTTGGGAGTGGAATTTTGCCCCCCTGAGCCAAGTTCAGTCAAATTTCGCAATGCCGAACAAGTTGGCCCACGAGGCAACGATTCAAAATACTACGCCAAGTCGAATTTTCACTCTCATCGAGATCGACACCTATCTAAGCCTCATCAAGTTTACACGAATGACTAAGTACATCCTCATTCCAATGAACAAACCTCTTGTCGACTTTCTCCGGCCTCTGTTGGTGGCCAAATACACGCCCCCGTCGATATTTATACCCGACGGAGGAAGCAAAGCTTGATGCAGAAATCTGAGAGACAATTCTTTGGGATGGACGTGAGTGAGAACTGGACAACAAGATAAAATGATGCAAGTAGTGGCTACGGTCTCAGAAAGGGTGAGATTTTGAACTTTGATAAGGAGTTTTATAAGTTGAGCTTTGTGCGCGACATGACTTTGATATAGAGGGTGCGGGCAACACTTTATACACCACCATGGTTGGATGGTGCGGTGGTACATCGTCTTGGCCGGTCTGCCAAGTAGATTCTGGATAGCTTGGACACACATCCTACTCGAGAAAGTTGATCGCTGGTTCGAATCCAGCAAAACACAACTACTTTTCTCGCGGCGCTGGTATGCACTGACGAAGGCATGCTTGGATAACCAAAGGTTTTGAAATTCCCTTTGGTGGGTACTTATGGAGAAGGGTCGACTGTTTGTGTAAGCGAACATACCTCATGGATATATTTGCAAATGAAATCCAGATTGTGAGTATCTCTAACGTCAAATGAGCTATGGATCACGTTAATATAGTACCAGTCATTTTTTTATTATTATATTAAAGTCCCAAGCTAAAGCTCTAGGTCCACTATCGGTACAAGACTGGTGGAGTCGGCGGGGATAACTGCTTACAGGCCCAACTCAGTCCAACCGCGAGAACCTCAACAAAAGTAGAAGAAGTTCATAACAAAACTTAAATCAAAACTAAAATTAAAGCGTAATTCAAAAAAAAACTGAAATGTAATTTAGAAGAATTTCATGGATGGCCTAGATCCGGCGCTTCTCGTCCGTTTCTTTCTCTGTCATATCTTCCAAGTGACTTTTCCTAATCTCCACTGAGAGCGAAAGATGAGTTCGCAGATAACTTGAATTCAGCCGGTATCCTGCTCTATAATTGAAGCTGTCGTAAACTTCACCGAGGGTTACTGTACCCTCAGACTTCTTCTTCGGATTCTAGTACACCGAAACCCGGTCCCTCCACCATGGAGACCTCCTTCGCAGAGGCGTTACTCGCCGAGGCAATCATCGCCTCTTCGGCCTTTTGTATGCAGCTTTGTTCGGATTAGGTCCTGGTCTACAATATCTAGCCTAATTGTGCTATGTTGCAGGCTACTGTTCCAATTATTCATGGGGTCATCGTCAGGATTGTGAGTAGTTTCGGTTTTGGTGTGGGTTTTTAGATTGATACCTAAGCGTGTCGCATAGTAGTCAGATATGCGACTCGAGTAGCATATACACGGTGAACCTCAACCCCAAAATGAGGATACGAATCAGGCATTACATGCTACGTCCTGTATGGCTAGCGTGGTTGGAATGTGGGGAATTTACCTGTAGATAGATAAAGACGTTGTAGCCCTCTGATAGTTGGGACAAGTCTTCTACAATATTATATCGGAATCAATACTAGTCTCTCATTAAGCAATCTCATGAATTATTTCCAATGTCTGTGATAACAGACATACACATACAATATCGACAACAACTTTAAAGTCGATAAAGCTTTGACACGGGCAAAGGCTGCATATCTTCTATGCTCGACTTTTCGAATTGCAACGAGCTGTTCTTTGGTCACCGGTCAATCTTTTCTGGGTCTAGCTGCGCAATCCCGAGAGTCCGATCGGTGGGGTCCCCCACAGTTTAGACAACTTTTGAGGGCTTTGCACTCTGATTCTGAGTGCATATTAGATCCGCATTTCCAGCAAGCTGGAGCGCAGGAACAGCCGTGGGTGGCGTGAAAGCCAAGAAATCGGTTGCATTCTTGTATTTGGCGGCGGGGTCGGAGGAGCTTAGCTGCTCCAGAGTCATCGAAAAGGCGGAATCCGGGTCGAGGTGCGGATTGTCGGGGAAATAGCGCTTGCCAATTTGAGTAGGGCGCCCCTGGTTTCCTAGTCCCATGAGGACGAACCAGAAAGGGAACCGACTGGGTCACTCGCGTGACTTCGTCGGCAACCATCTTTGCCGTCACGGCGATTGGGCCAGCAAGAGTTCGAATCGTCTCCGGGACGGTGGCAATTTGCATGGCAACCAGATTTGATGCTGGTTCCAGTTTGATTCTAGATTCGCTCCGTGATGTGGAGGAATCTAGAAGCTCTGTTCGAGCGAGTTCATCCTATGCGGTTATTGCAAAGCCGGTCTTTACCCGCTGAACCAACGTGATATTGTTGGCAGTGGTTCCCAGCGCCTGAGGCAACGCTAGCCTTACGCCAGCTGGGGAGAGGAGACGGTGAGGATGTAAATATTCAAGGCGTAGAAAAAGTCGTGAATCGGCTTTTCCACTCGAGTTGGCACTCTTTGCTTTCTGGGCGGGCGGTGCTGCCTTTTTTGTCGATGGCCCAGCGCTGCTGAATAGGCTTGCCCGAGCTACGGTGACCCAAGTTATCTTTGGGTCGAAGCCTGGGTTTTCGTAGGGTTACATACCCTAATTTCTGGAGCCCTCGGTGGTAAAGAGTTGGCGGGGCGAGCAGGAAGGACTGGTGGTGTGCTTCCTGTACTGGATTAAACGAACAAGCCAATGGCTGTGTCAAGGGACTTCACATTTGTTGTTCACAATTATGGGTCCAAAAATGAATTTATATTTTATCTAAGGGGGAGAATATTTACAACGCGCGCGCGAGATGTTTTTTTCCAATCGAGCGCGTTTTCCCGTGACACTAGCGCGCTTTTGTTCATAGACGGAGCCGGATAGTTCCGGATCCACATACAAGGCTACAGCCTGTAACAGGCTGCTCGTAGGTAGACTTTTATACCGTCTACGAATTCTTTATTTTCGCCGATCGAAAGAGGCGAAAGTGCTGCTTCAACACTGTTTATCACAGTCGAGCAGATGGCGAGGCGGGCCGTAATTTGCGTCGTCCGTCGCTTTTCGGCCTCCATCACGGTTTGCAGCTCTGGAGGAAATTCCATTGCTGGTATCAATGCTGCGCCTTTTGAGGCTGGCACAGTATTTTTTCCGGCAGACGATTCTGCAAGTTCGGGCGTCCTTTCTCTGACGACTTCCTTTCCTGGGGCTGCTTGCCTCGGAGGCCAGCTCGGCGGGTTTCGCTGTCTGTTGACCATTTTTTTCTGTTCTGATCGGATCAGAATCAGTCATCTCTTGATCAGGAAGGGTGGAAGACTTCCCAGGGACAAAGGCGTCACTCGCAAATAGGCTTGATAAATTTTGCGCGAGACCAGTAGGTTTTGGACACATGTGTGTCCGTTCCAAGCCGACAGAAATGGTCGACTTTAGTCGTTTGCTCTTCATCGGAGGCATTTTGGGACGCCTTTCGATGGTCATCAATTCGAGAACTCAAGCATAGGAAAAATCATGAGAAGGGAAAAAAGGGAACTTTCGTATTTCTCGAATTGTGCGATTCGCGGCAATAGTTTTTTTTTACCTTTGGTCCTAAGCTAAAGCTATCTTTTCCACATTGGGTCAAGAACCGGAGGATCCGGCAGGGTTCCCTGTAACTTTTCCTACAGCCTAACTCGTTCCAACCTCGTGAATCTCTGCCAAACGTGCAGCTGATTAAACTGAAACGAAAAACCAAGTAAATCAAAACAACTCCGAAAAAAACCAGAAGATTCCTTCACATTGGACCGAAGCAATGCGCTCCTCACACATTCCCTCGTCCGTCACACCTTCCAAATCACAAAATTTATTCAATCTCCGCTGAGAGCAAGAGATGAGTTAGCAGGCACCTTTGATCCAGCCGGTATCCTGCTATTGGTTAGTAGATGCCCCAATGGGGACATCGTCGAGATTGCTGTGTTCTCAAACTTCTTCTTCAGCTTCCAGAGCTCCGAAACCTGTTGCCTCGGCCATCGAGACATCCTTCGCCGCGGCGATGATCGCCTCTTCGGCCTTTTTTGCTGCAGCTCTGGCTCGTGCCACCATCGCGAACTCCCCTTGTTCGATGTGGCGAATCCACGCGAGCTGCTCTTTGGTCACCGGTCCCCCACAGTTGCGACAGCGTGTAAGGGCCTTGCACTCTGTTTCGGAGTGCATATTTGATCTGCAGTTCCAGCAAGCCGGAGCGCGGGAGCAACTACGAGTGGCGTGGAAGCCCAAACAGCGTTTGCACTGTTCAATTGATCGACGAGGCTTATGGATGGTAGCCATACCCGAATCGTCGAAAAGGCGGAAGCCCGCACGAGGGGCTTCGTCCCGGTGAAAAAGGGCATGCCAGTTTCGATAAGGCGATCCAGGCCGACATGTCCCATGAGGTCGGACCTGGATTGGATACGCGCTGGTCGTAAGGAAGATCTCAGCGGTGACACT